CTGTGAGAATACAGCAGCTGATAGACAAGGGCCAGTTTCAGCCAGCTTCAAAGGGACCCACTGCTGTCCAGACCCAAGCCAATAAGCAACATTGTTTACACCCGTGTGAGAGCAGAATTAAGAAAGGGAAAAATAAAAATAAAAGTAAAAATAAATAAATAAATAAATAAATAAATAAAAATAAAGAAGAAAGAGAAGAAGAACAAAAAAAAAAAAAAAAAAAAAAAAAAAAAAAAAAGAAAAAAGAAAAAACAACAACAAAACAGCAGCTGGCAGAGTGAGGAGTGAGAGCCAGCCCTGCAGCCCCCCAGATGAGTGCAGCAGGAGGGCAGGAGGTGCTGCAGGCAGGCAGGCAGCAGCAGTTCCCCTGCGGGCTGTGCAGGGAGAGGCCCCTGGTGGAGCAGGCTGTCCCCCTGCAGCCCATGGGTCCCCCATGGAGCAGATCTCCACGCTGCAGCCCCCCCATGGGTGGAGGAGCCCCCGGTGGAGCAGGTGGCTGTGGCCTGGAGGAGGCTGCGGCCCATGGAGAGCCCCCGCAGGAGCAGGCCCCGGGCCGGAGCTGCAGCCCGTGGAGAGGAGCCCACGCAGGAGCAGGGGGTCTGGGGGGAGCTGCCCCCACCCGTGGGGGACCCGTGCTGGAGCAGTTTGCTCCTGGGGCATGGATGGATGGACCCCGTGGGACAGAGCCGTGTGGGAGCAGTGCTTGAAGAGCTGCTGCCTGTGGGCAGCCCCCGCAGGCTCAGTTGGGGAAGGACGGCATCCCTGGGAGGGACCCCACGGGGAGCAGGGGCAGGGAGGGACCATGAGTGAGCGCAGCCCGCATTCCTTGTTCCCCTGTGCTGCTTGTGTGGGAGGATGTAGAAGAGGGTAGATGGGGGGGAAGGTGTCTTTCATTTCTTTCCTTTGTTTCTCATTGCTCTAACTTGTTACTAATAGGCAATAATTTTTACTTATCTCTTTACACTAAGTCTGTTTTGCCTGTGATGGTAATTGAGTGTTCTCCCTCTCCTTGTCTCAATCCTGGAGCCATTTTCATAGTATTTTCTCCACCTTTCCATTTGAGGAAGGGGAACGAGAGAGCAGTTGTGGTGGAGCTTGGCTGCTCACCTGAGTAAAGCCACCACACCTGGGACTGTATGTGAAAATTCCTGCTAGGAAGAGCACAATCCTTTCCTTTACTCTCTGAGTAGAACCATTGATCATTATAAATTGAATCTAGTTAAAGAGTCCATAATGACAGCCTGTAAGTTGGGATCTCAGAGTCTGCCTACAACAACAAGGCAGTGGAACTGGTAGCTTGTTGGGCTTATCTGGCTCATGTTGTGAAGGATGAACTCCTTGTAGACTACCCATAGTTTTCCCTCTGTTGGAGAAGGGTACCATGTGTCTTGTCCATGGCATGTTTGGGACCTGCAGGCAGACTGTTGGGCAGTGGACTAGCTCTACACAACATCCTCACAAAGGGAGCATTTATCCAGCATTTTTTCTCAACTGCATCCTGTCTGCCTGTGAATCAGAAAATACCATAATGTGCTAGACAGAAATGGACAGCTTCAGAAACAATTTGCATTCTGACAGCCAATTTCCATTTCTGATCCATTTGCCTCTTCCTGCAGCTTGTTCACTGAAGAAAAATGAACTCACATAGAGCACAGCAAAATCACTACACCATTTCAGCTATATGTGCCTAAAAAAAATGTTTAGGAGAAGCCAATTTATTTCCACACATATTCAAAAATTCTTGAGCCTCTTGGAACCCAATCAAAAAGAGCCTGTGATGAATCGCTGTGACAATTTATCTCCCAGGCTTCTATTCATTATCTGAAGATTTACATTTTTGCTATAGCAGAATCCTGATATGTGTATAACCTTGACACTTGAATAAATTCATTTATTTGAAATGTCTCTGTCTCTCACAGAGGGTTGTTTACAGGCTTGTACTACCTGAAATAGTTATTCTTTGACGTATATCAAACGTTGTATTCATCTGACATATGTGGCTATTGTTGAGGATAATTTTTCTGGTGTTTATTTTATGTGGAAAGTAGGAATCAGGCACACATACAGCGTGAAACTTTGATGGAGAAGATTCACATAGGAGCCAAATGAAATACCCCTTGCAAAGATGACTCTAAGTGACTCTCTCTAGAGAACCTTTTCAGAAAACAGTGCCTTTACAGCAGAAACTATTATAGCAGCTTTCCACAACAGACTATCAGACAAATGCAAACCTCTGAGTCATGTACTCTATACTGCTTATACAACAGTGCATGTATTTCCTTTCAGAAGCCTGTGCACCTGTTCTGACATTACTGTCAGAAACACCATCATGCTGTTCTTCCCTGCATCTCTGGATTTAAAATTTTAGATTAGGCAGGAAATATTGCCAAGGTTTTAGGGAAATGTGGCAGCATAAAGAAGGTTGTACTCATTCTGAAAATCAGAACAAGAAGGCACAAAGTAGAAATTCATCAGCTTTAGTTTTGATTAATTTTGTAAAAGCTTTCTAATTAAAGTAAATCAAAACCTTGAAACAAGAAGTCTTTGTTTAACTTATTTTCCTATCAATATAATTAAAGAACTCTTTACATGTTGACTCTTTTCAAAATCTTAGAAATGTACCTAATATTACCTTAGGAATTCTCCTAGATATTTCATGTTAATGGGTATAATATTTAAGAACTACAACAGTTGCTACTTATTGCCTGTAATAATGAGCCAAAGCATGACTACTTCTTTTTACATTGTCACAATGATCTATTTTGTTTTCTACTCGATTTTTCCTTCATTCAGCTCCTTTATTTTTTCTTTGCAGACACTGACCTGATATTTTCTACCTTTCTACCTTTTATCGCTGACCAAAAAAAAAAAAAAAAAAAAAAAAAAAAGCCTTTCCCAAACTCCTTGGGGTTCGTCTTTCCAATGAAGGATACAGAAAAGCAGCACAAACATAAAACCTATCATTAAAAGATAGTGATAGAGTCAATGAGCCCCAAAAGCAGATCTTCATACAGGTTGTACCCTAATAACTCAAGTAATTTGTCAACCATGTGTAATATATAGATATCTGACAGAATGGTAAAGTACCAGGTCTTTTTTGAAAAAAAAAGAAAAAAAAAAAAAAAGATTGTGGAAGACCACTGCAGCTAGTAGCCTCTTAGATAGAATCCTCAAAAAGACATAAAGAAAATTGTGTATAGAAAGATTGTTGAATAAGAAAATAAGGGAAATATTATGAAGAAACTGAATTAACAAGGAAGGTTTAAATGGCTTAGAAATGAGAATAATTTGTGCTGGTCTTCAAAGATGTTGACCACAAGCTTTCAGAACTGTAAGTTTATATGTTGAAGTGGACTGTTGTTCTTTCTATTTGTTGCCTATACTTAATATTCTCATAGTAATGGGAATTGCTTCATTGAGATGTTCAGGCAATGAATCCGAGATCTGAATAGCAATGTTTGATTCTGGCATTAACAGACCGAAGTACTTGCTATAATATACTTTTGATTTCTCTCTTTCCAAGTTCTGTGCTGTCATCATCAATTATGCTAATGAATAAATACAAATGTTTTGACATAATAAAATACTGTACACCTCAAATAAATGCCTGATCATATTCATCTTACTACTCATCAATCATTAATTTTACCTCTCTTCTAAAGAGGATAAACTCTGCCTGACAAATGGCTACTGTCAAAATCAGCAGAAAATAACTTTCCTTCAAGCTTCTAATAAGAAAAGTACATTATGTCTAACTATGTAAAAAGTAAATGTCATTAAAAATATCTGACATTGTCCTTTAGCATTTATTTCTCTCTTTGTCAAATCATTGAATAATGCAAACAGGAAGCAGATTTTCAGTTAATGCCCTGAAGAGTTCTAACTTTAAAAGACAGATTCAGAAGGCCTAATGGTAGAGATATGCTGACAGACATTTCAGTCTCTTTCCACAGGAGAATAAATCACAGAATCATAGAATTGTTTGGGTTGGAAGGGATCTGGGAGGAGTATGAAGTTCTCCAATACGTATCCAAGTACTCATGCAAAAGTGACAGGTGTCCTTAGTATTCTAAATAAATGCACAACAAGGTGTAATAGCATTGGAAACTAGCTATTAGCCAAAGTACTTAGAGTTTTTTTGGTATCATAAATGAAAATCAGAAGCTTTCTCAATTCCTTTAATTCATACTCTGTTGAAAGTTTGAACCAGTAAAGTTTGTCAACAGGAAGCAAATGTGCCCAAAAAAGACCAGAGAACTAAACATCTCTAAATATAACTTGACTGTTTAAGACACTCTCTCTATAATTATCTTTTTCTTCCTCCTATTTCTAACCTAATGCCAAAAGTAAAGAATTCCACCTGATACTTTAAATTTCAGCCCTCCAATCACTAACCTGAGATAGATATGTTACTGTTGCCATTGCAAGAGGGATTAAAATATCAATTAGACATTGTTTTGGCCCTCTGCAAAAGAGGAAATCACAAATAGCAATGAAGAAACACAAGCTATAAGTAGAGAGGTGTTTTCACACTAACTTTTCAAGAAGCAAACACTAGTAAAGCCAAAGCAAATTCAGTGATAACAAGTGAGCAAAGAATGGAGGCTAGGTTCAGCACATAACTTGTTGTGAAGAACTAATGTGTGAAGATTTAAATAGTTTCAATTCCCCAAGGCTTGGAAGCCTTCTGTAGGTTTCAGCTGGCACCATTCCCAATTTTGAAGTGATTGTACTTGAAAGGAAAAGGATAGGGAAGCAAAATAATGGTTATTTGGAAACCAGACATAATTTCTTAAGAAGAATTAGACACAATGTTGTGAAGATCTCTAGTTTGCATTTATCAAGTAGTGACTAGAAAAGGGGATTTAATGTTTCCTGGGAAATTAAAGGGTTACCCAGCTGCCTAGAATTACAGTCTGAACCAGCAGGTAGCAGGTTTAAAAGAAATAATGTTGCTGCCATTTGGCAGTCCCTCAGCTGTTCCCTAGGCTGCAAAATAAACACTGTAATACAGTATATAACTGTGGGAAAATATAACACCCCAAAAAGATGAAAGCCACAGGAATAAAAGAGACTTAGTTCTTCTATTTTAGATGGGTAGGTGGACCAACAGATCTGCAGAAGACTTTGTACAAATGCAGTGTGTTTTCTACTGCGTTGCGAGTGCCTCTATGTTTTGGGCAATGGACACAACACAATGCAGAAAAAACTGTCCCTGAAGGACAAGCTGTCTCTTTGTGGAGCTGTTTCCCTTCACTACAACTTCTCAGCTTAATGTTGTTGCCTTGCAGCTGTCAAGCCTACTACCTTCCAGAACAGGTTTGAAAATAAGCTTTAAGCTTAAGCATTTATTGCTGCTTCTCGCATCATATTATCAGTTCTACCACAGGAAAATGTAGCCCAGCTATAGCATATATATAGCATAGCTATATTTTCATACATACTATCTATCATGCTTCATTACTAGTAAAATCTGTACTGTTAAAATAGCATTTTGCTGTTTGTTTACATTTGCTATCCCAATATATGAGTTACTTGACAGACAGAGGCTGGTGTAGATGCATTGAAGATTTTGCACAGACATTACCAAACACATAACTTCCCACATCCTTACAAGATGCTGTGCAGAACAGCCCTCCCCAGGCTTTGACCAACTGGCTGGTCCACCAGATGTCAGGAAAAAAAAAATGCATATTTTAGTAAAACTGTTTGGTATTCTTTGGCTGAGCCACATACATAACCTTAATAAAATGTGTATCCTGGTGAAGCAATGGAAATGACTGTTGCATGTTCCTGTTCTCAGGAACCACCATAATGTTTCAACCACAATGTAACTGTTGTAACCAAGTCATTCAAACAAGCAAAATAAAATGGCCTAACTTATTCTCCACTAAACTTAAGGGGTACAAAAATAATAATGCTTAGGTATGCTGCTCTATAGAAACTCAAACAAAGCAAATCAAATTGTGCCATAGCCAATGGCAGCGTCTGTCTGAGACCACAGATATCAGCCTGTTCAGAGTTAAATGGTAAAGACTTTTGGTCTATAGGTTATTTTCCCTCCAAAAATCTGTGAACACTTTAGCATAAGAAAAGGAAGAAGGAAATTAAGACAAAACAAACAACAACCTCAACAAACAGTGGCAACAGCAGCAGGAGTTAAGAGAACATGACCAAAGCACAGCAAAGAAATGAAGGTGGTGAAGAACAGCTTTTTCATAACTTATGTGCTTGCAGAAATACCTTAACAATGACAGTCTAATAAAATTGTACTTCAGAGAGACAAACTGGCAGCATTCATTTTAATAGATTCTCAGTCAGGTGCATTAGGAATGTCTCATTCATGGACAGAGATTTAGCAGAGTATGTTGTTCCTTTTTGTATTATCCCTTTTTACTTTCTTTTTATTATGGACTATGAATATGCAGCTTACATGTCATTTGCAGCATCGTCCCACAATTCAAAAGATGACCAGATTACGTAGCAATTTAAATAAGACCAAATACTGGCCCCAGTGTTACTGTGTACTGTAAAAGGAGGTTGTCAAGGGGCAGAGGTGATCTTCATCTGTCTACCTGAAATGTGCATAACAAAAAAGATGTCACAGCTAAGTAAAATATCCCACTTAAGATGAAATGAAGAGGCAAATGTGAGTGTCGAGAAAAAGGGGGTGTCGAGAGGCAGGAGACCTTTTCTCCATTAACACCAGCGACAGGACCCGCGGGAACGGGGTTAAGCTGAGGCAGGGGAAGTTTAGGCTTGACATCAGGAGGGAGTTCTTCACAGAGAGAGTGGTTGCACACTGGAACAGGCTCCCCAGGGAAGTGGTCACTGCACTGAGCCTGACTGAATTTAAGAAGAGATTGGACTGTGCACTTAGTCACATGGTCTGAACTTTTGGGTAGACCTGTGCGGTGTCAAGAGTTGGACTTGATTATCCTTAAGGGTCCCTTCCAACTCAGGATATTCTATGATTCTATGATTCTATGAAATGTGGTAAGCGTACAGAAATCTTTGGCCAGCACAGCCTTTATGCTGTTTAAATTTATACTGTAGACCATACAGCCAAATTAGAGGTGAATAAACAGTCTCTCCTTCCTGTTCTTTCTACCCAGGCTCCAAGCCATCTGTGATTTGAGCCAAACCAAGGACCTAGCTCACAGCATCTGACTGTCCTTCACAGCAATTTGCAATGTGAGGTCAAAGGACATAATATGACCATTTAGTATGACAAAGTGAACTTAAAAACATGTTCTACCATAATATTTTACATACATATAGTCATCTGGAGAGGTCCCAAATGACTGGAGACTTGCTAATGCGATGCTCATCAAGAGTCGCAAAGAGAACTCAGGGAACTACAGGACTGTCAGCCTTACCTTGGTGCCAGGGAAGGTGATGGAACAGGTCATCTTGAATGCAATCACACAGCATGTGCAGGACAGCCTGAGGATGAGGCCCAGACAGCATGGGTTCATGAAAGGCAAGTCCTGCCTGACCAACTTCGTCTCCTTCTATGACCAGGTGACTCACCTGATGGATGAGGAAAGCAAAGACTTTGACATGATCTCCCACAGTATTCTGCTTGTAAAGCTGGCAGCCCATGTCTTGGACAGGTACGCTTTTTGCTGGGTTAAAAAATGGTTGGATAGCTGGGCCCAGACAGTGGTGGTGAATGGAGTGAAATCCAGCTGGCAGCTGGTCATGAGTGGTGTTCCCCAGGGGTTGCTGTTGGGACCCATCCCCTTTAATATTTTTATTGATGATTTGGATGAGGGAACTGAGTGCACCCTCAGTAAATTTGCAAACACCAAGTTGGAAGAAGTATCAATCTGCCAAAGGGTTGGAAGGCCCGGCTGAGGGACCTGGATAGAATGGATTGATCGGCAGAGACCAATGGGATAAGGTTCAACATGGCTATGCGTCAGGTCCTACACTTTGGCCACAATAACCCCATGCAGCGTTATAAGCTTGGAGGAGAGTGGCTGGAAAGCTGTGGGTGAAAAGGATCTGGGGGTGTTGGTCAATGCTTGTCTGAACATGAGCCAACAGTGTGCCCAGATGGCCAAGAAGACCAATGGCATCCTGGCTTTTATTGGGAAAAGTGTAGACAGCGGGAGCAGGGAGGTGATCATCCTTATGTGCTCTGCTCTGTTGAGGCTGCCTCTCAAGTACTGTGTTCAGCTTTGGGCCCCTCACGACTAGAAGGACATCAAGGCCCTGGAGTGTGTCCAGAGAAGGGCTATGAAGCTGGTGAGGTGTCTGGAGCACAAGTCCTGTGAGGAGCAGCTGAGGGAACTGGGGTTGTTTAGTCTGAAGAAGAGGAGGCTCAGGGGAGACCTTATTGCTCTCCACAACTACCTGAAAGGAAGGTGTGGGGAGCTGGGGGTTGGCCTCTTCTCACAAGTGACTAGTGATAGGACTAGAGGGAATGGCCTCAAGTTGTGTCAGGGTAGGTTTAGGTTGGAAATTAGGAGGCATTTCTTTCCAGAAAGTGCAATCAGTCATTGGAACGGGTTGCCCGTGGTGGAGTCACCATCCCTGAGGGTGTTCAAGGAAAGGTTGGACATGGTGCTTAAGGACATGGTTTAGTGAGTTACATTGGTGGTAGGAGGATGGTTGGACCAGATGGTCTTGGAGGTCTTTTCCAACCTTAATGATTCTGTGATATCAAGACAAAAGTTTCCATAGCAAATAACTTACACCTTAAACATAAGCAGAAAACAGGGAAGATGAAGATGCCAGTGTTGGAAACCCCAAGGAAGAGTCAGTCAGAGACACATAGGAGGAAACTAAACCCTTTGGAATAAAAAAATTTATTAAATCTAACAGGTGCGCATATGCATTCAAGGTTAACTTTGCTGCATTATCATAGCATGCGTTCTGTGATACTTGGAATTGTTCTGAGAAAAGGCAACATTTTTTATGGGTATGATAAGAGACTTTGCATGTATGTTGCATCCAATTTTCTTCTCTCCTGAAGAATCATCACATTTATCTTTAAGAAAAACAAACTAAAATAATTAGTATGCCATTTCTGTTTATAAGTTAGTAAAACTCCTCTGCTACTAACAACAGATAACTATTCTTTACCTGCTGTGAACAAATCTGTGATGATGTATGAGTAAGGGGTGTGTGAACATCTCAGGAAACTTTATAAACTATTTTGAGAGATAACCAAGAACGTGCAAGACATAAACAATGTTCTCTGCAAGACTGTCATTGCTTATAATAAGTTATACTACAGAATAATTTCCTCTAGTTGCTTTGGGTTTATTGAATGCCATTTCTCTTCTTCCACTACTACTCTAGTGCATTGCTGTTATGGATTAACCTGGCAGGCAGCTCAGCACCAAACGGCCATTCACACACCCTTTCCATCTCCCCCAGCGGGATGGGGGAGAGAATCAGGAGGAAGAAACATAAAATCTCTTGGGTTGAAATAAAGAGAGTTTAATAGGATAGAAACAGAAGATAAATAATAATGATGATAAAAAATAACTATAAATATTATTTTAATAAGTGATGCACAGTGCAATTGCTCTCCACCTTCTTACTGATGACCAGCAAGTCCCTGAGCAGCGTTCCTCCATGGACCCACCCTCCCAGTTTTATTGTTCATCATGACACTGCATGGTAAGGGACTACCCTCTGGCCATTTTGGGTCACTTGTCCTGTTTTTGTCCCCTCCCAGGCCTTTGTGCACCTCCAATGTCCTCACTGGCAGGGCAGCACCAGAAGCTGAAAGGTCGTTGGCTCTGTGTGAGCACTGCTCTGCAACAACTGAAACATCCACGTGTTATCAGCATTATTTTTCTCCTACATTCAAAACATGGCAAATACCAGCCACTATGAAGATAATTAACTCTATCCCAGCCAAAACCAGGACAATTATCTTCAAATCATTTGAAAAGCTTAAAGAGTTTCACAGTAAAACTGACATATATTTAGTGTAAGCTACAGGCTTGAAAAAAATAATCCAACTTCTTACAATTCAAAACAGAAAGGTGGTGGCAGATGCAGACTGAAAACTGATTTCATACTAGTTTGGAACATTATGATTGGCTCTGTAGGAAGTGGGTTAAGAGTGCAAGAAGTCATTTGTCTGCTAATAAGGAAACCAGTAGCACACACAGCTAAGGACTAGATTGATGATTTCACAGAATCACAGAATCACAGAATTTCTAGGTTGGAAGAGACCTCAAGATCATCGAGTCCAACCTCTGACCTAACACTAACAAGTCCTCCACTAAACCATATCCCTGAGCTCTACATCTAAACGTCTTTTAAAGACCTCCAGGGATGGTGACCCAACCACTTCCCTGGGCAGCCCGTTCCAATGCCTAACAACCTTTTCGGTAAAGTTCTTCCTAAGATCCAACCTAAAACTCCCCTGGAACAACTTTAGCCCATTCCCCCTCATCCTGTCACCAGGCACATGGGAGAACAGACCAACCCCCACCTCGCTACAGCTTCCTTTAAGGTACCTGTAGAGAGCAATAAGGTCACCCCTGAGCCTCCTTTTCTCCAGGCTGAACAAGCCCAGCTCCCTCAGCCGCTCCTCCTAGGATTTGTTCTCCAGACCCCTCACCAGCTTCGTCGCCCTTCTCTGGACCCACTCAAGCACCTCCATGTCCTTCTTGTAGTGAGGGGCCCAAAACTGAGCACAGTACTCGAGGTGTGGCCTCACCAGAGCCGAGTACAGGGGGACGATCACTTCGCTAGCCCTGCTGGCCACACTGCTTCTGATACAAGCCAGGATGCTGTTGGCCTTCTTGGCCACCTGAGCACACTGCTGGCTCATATTCAGACAACTGTCCACCATCACTCCCAGGTCCTTCTCTGCCAGGCAGCTCTCCAATGACTCATCTCCCATCCTGTAGCTCTGCTTGGGATTACCGCGCCCCAGGACCTGCACCTGGGGCGCGGTAATCCCAAGCAGAGCTACAGGATGGGAGATGAGTCATTGGAGAGCTGCCTGGCAGAGAAGGACCTGGGAGTGATGGTGGACAGTTGTCTGAATATGAGCCAGCAGTGTGCTCAGGTGGCCAGGTGCAGGACCTGGCACTTGGCCTTGTTGAACTTCATGCAGTTGACCTCAGCCCATCGGTGCAGCCTATCCAGATCCTCCTGCAGAGCCTTCCTACCCTTGAGCAGATCGACACATGCACCTAACTTGGTGTCATCTGCAAACTTACTGAGGGTGCACTCAATGCCCTCATCCAGATCATCGATGAAGATATTAAAGAGGACCGGCCCCAGCACCGAGCCCTGGGGAACGCCACTAGTGACCAGCCTCCAACTGGATTTGACTCCATTTACCACGACTCTTTGGGCCCGGCTATCCAGCCAGTTTCTAACCCAACAAAGCGTGCGCCAGTCCAAGTCAAGAGCAGCCAGTTTCTTGAGGAGAATGCTTTGGGAGACGATGTCAAATGTCTTGCTGAAGTCAAGGTAGACCACATCCACAGCCTTTCCCTCATCCACCCAGCGTGTCACTTTGTCATAGAAGGAGATCAGGTTCGTCAAGCAGGACCTGCCTTTCATAAACCCATGCTGACTGGGCCTGATCGCCTGCTTGCCCTGCAAGTGCCACATGATGACTCTCAAGAGGATCTGCTCCATGAGCTTCCCTGGCACTGAGGTCAAACCTGGCACAGGTTTCACCCCTGTCCTACATCAGAGGAACATCCAGAGCTGGGAAGGAAAATACACAGCTCATGTAATACACCCACTCTGAAAGGAATCAGGAGTTGAAGAAGGTCTTTTTCCTTCCTGATCCTGATCTGGCCCACTAAGCCAAATAATATGCTGTTACTACAGATCCCATCCCTGACAGCCTTCCATTGTTGCAATTGTCATATTAATTGGCTTTACCTTGGTGGCATTACACAGTAAAACACTGGAATTACAGAATGACTGTCTTAGAAGGGAATCCCCTTAAAGTATGCATAAAAGATAAAAACTGAGAATGCGAGCTCATAATACTTGTGACAGTTCAGAGCTGAAAACCTGTTTTGTAGAAAACTACTTAAAAGAGCATAGCATTGAAAAAGTAGTACATTATATGAAGAGATTTTACTGAGTTATTAAACTGGCAACATATAGGCACATTTCTAGGGTAAATTAAAAAATAATAATTTAATTTTAAAAAAAAAAGAAAAGATCATTTTACATAACCCAGTAACTTTTTGGTACATATGTTCACATGTTCCTTATTCCACTACAGACCACCATTCTGATGGTTGTGTTTGAAGTGTTTTAAAGGGTTGACTTGGACATAGCAGTAGGAGACACTACCTGGACTGCTCAGTCAATCTCCTGCTACCCACATGCATTCACATTACATATCACTTTTTTATATTTTGATTAAATTTTGACATGCTTGCTTACCTGCCCTGTTAATGCAGGTAAGACATTTCAAACTGTCTTGCATTTATTTACATGGGAGGAACATGCATACAGGTGGGACTGTTTGCATCTGTGCTGCTGCACTCTAACTTTCCATACCACTTGTGAAGCTTAGAGTAAGTGAACTGGATCCTTCCCATTATGTCCTGTGAGTGAATAGTTTGCATTGCTTTGACAGGTTGTGGTTGAAAAGCCAGACATTAAGGCATGAAAGAAGGGAAGGGAAGGGAAGGGAAAAGGGAAGGGACGGGAGGGAAGGGAAGGAAAGGGAAGGGGGAAGGGAAGGGAGGACGGAAGGGAAGGGGAAGGAAGGGAAGGAAGGGAAGGAAGAAGGAGGGAGGGAAGGAAGGGAAGGGATAGGGAAGAAGGGAGGAAGGGAAGGAAGGAAGGGAAGGGAAGGGACGGGAAGGGAAGGGAAGGGAAGGGAAGGGAAGGGAAGGAGGGAGGAAGGGAAGGGAAGGGAAGGGAAGGGAAGGGAAGGGAAGGGAAGGGAAGGGAAGGAAGGAAGGAAGGGAAGGGGAAGGGAAGGGAAGGGAAGGGAAGGGAAGAAGAATATTGCCGTAAAATTGGCAAGCACAAATAGAACTATTTTGGGATAAAATCACTGAATCCCACCCTGTCACATTTTTAGTGCCCTTGCAGAAGGTATCACTGCTATGATTGCTACACAATGCTTCAGTGTAGGCAGAACAAATGTAGCATGTACAACACCAGGTATCAGTAGAAGGACTATGCTCTTAGGAATTTCTCAAATAGTTTGGGACAGATTCTTAATCATCACATGACGCAGTCCCCCAAGGTCCCATGAATTTAGGCCATGCCAGTTACAACCCTGCATATGCCGCAGTCACTGGAGAAGGCACAGAGCACATGTTCTCAGGGCTGCGTATCCATCTGACTGACATTGATTGGCGGCTAGCAAATGTGACGTCCATCTACAAGAAGGGCCGGAGGGCAGATCCGGGAAACTACAGGCCTGTCAATTTGACCTCAGTGCCAGGGAAGCTCATGGAGCAGATCCTCTTGAGAGTCATCATGTGGCACTTGCAGGGCAAGCAGGCGATCAGGCCCAGTCAGCATGGGTTTATGAAAGGCAGGTCCTGCTTGACGAACCTGATCTCCTTCTATGACAAAGTGACACGCTGGGTGGATGAGGGAAAGGCTGTGGATGTGGTCTACCTTGACTTCAGCAAGACATTTGACATCGTCTCCCAAAGCATTCTCCTCAAGAAACTGGCTGCTCTTGACTTGGACTGGCGCACGCTTTGTTGGGTTAGAAACTGGCTGGATAGCCGGGCCCAAAGAGTCGTGGTAAATGGAGTCAAATCCAGTTGGAGGCTGGTCACTAGTGGCGTTCCCCAGGGCTCGGTGCTGGGGCCGGTCCTCTTTAATATCTTCATCGATGATCTGGATGAGGGCATTGAGTGCACCCTCAGTAAGTTTGCAGATGACACCAAGTTAGGTGCATGTGTCGATCTGCTCAAGGGTAGGAAGGCTCTGCAGGAGGATCTGGATAGGCTGCACCGATGGGCTGAGGTCAACTGCATGAAGTTCAACAAGGCCAAGTGCCAGGTCCTGCACCTGGGGCGCGGTAATCCCAAGCAGAGCTACAGGCTGGGAGATGAGTGATTGGAAAGCTGCCTGGCAGAGAAGGACCTGGGAGTGATGGTGGACAGTTGTCTGAATATGAGCCAGCAGTGTGCTCAGGTGGCCAAGAAGGCCAACAGCATCCTGGCTTGTATCAGAAGCAGTGTGGCCAGCAGGGCTAGGAAAGTGATCGTCCCCCTGTACTCAGCTCTGGTGAGGCCACACCTCGAGTACTGTGTTCAGTTTTGGGCCCCTTGCTACAGGAAGGACATGGAGGTGCTTGAGTGAGTCCAGAGAAGGGCAACGAAGCTGGTGAGGGGTCTGGAGAACAAGTCCTATGAGGAGCGGCTGAGGGAGCTGGGCTTGTTCAGCCTGGAGAAAAGGAGGCTCAGGGGTGACCTTATTGCTCTCTACAGGTACCTTAAAGGAAGCTGTAGCGAGGTGGGGGTTGGTCTGTTCTCCCACGTGCCTGGTGACAGGATGAGGGGGAATGGGCTTAAGTTGTTTCAGGGGAGTTTTAGGTTATATGTTAGGAAGAACTTCTTTACCGAAAAGGTTGTTAGACACTGGAGCAGGCTGTCCAGTGGTGGAGTCATCATCCCTGGAGGTCTTTAAAAGACGTTTAGATGTAGAGCTCAGGGATATGGTTTAGTGGGGATTGTTAGTGTTAGGTCAGAGGTTGGACTCGATGATCTTGAGGTCTCTTCCAACCTAGAAATTCTGTGATTCTGTGATCTTGGGCGTGTGGAATCTGCCCTGCATTTCTTCGGGCTCTCAGTAAGAGGCCTTCCCCTTCTGTAATCCCCTCTCAAATGTAATCCCTCCTTGACTCTTTAAAAACAGTAATTATTTCCCTAATTCTGAATTAATAACTAGTGGAGACAGTCATCTCCACAGTTAATTGTGTTTGTTCCCTGTTGTAATTTGGCCATGGAGGAGGAATACAAGCATGTGTACTTGTAGATGTATGTGTGTATGATCTGGAAAGCACACTACAGTGATGCCTATTCAGTTGAGGCCAGAATCTGCCTACACATCTGGAGTGAGACAGGGGCAGAGTAGCTGCACTGCTCTTTTTCTGCTTTGCCTTCCCTTGGTGTTGTGCAAGTGGCCAGGACATTAAGAGGTGAGGGACTCTGCAGAAGGGATCACACAGATTTCCCCATTCCTCACTCACTCAGAGCTGATACAATTTCAGCTGTGTTAAAGTTATTAAATGTAACGAATGGAATTTGTTTTATTTTCTTTTTTCCTTTTTTTTTTTTGGGGGGGGGGGGTGGGAGGGTGAAAGAGGGGACAGGAGTAGGAGGGAGTAGGAGAAAAGCATTGTTTTAAAGAATCTAGTGGGATCAATTGACTGGTTAAAAGACTGTAAGCTACGCTTCCAGATGTACCACCTTTGCATCCACAGTGCTCTCTTCAGTATGTATAGAGGCATTTCTAACTTACTCGTTTCAGTGGTATCCAGGCATTAGCTCAAGAGCACTCATTTTCCACTGTCTCTGTCAGTACTATACAATTAAGGAGTAATTTTAACTTTACTGTTGAATGCTTCCTTTCTTTGTCTGAACAAATAGCTAATTCCTTCTTCATTGTTTAATGCCATAGACTTCATTTCTTTTAAAGTCTGAGTAGAGAAACTGAAAGGATTTATTTATTCTATTATAGATTACTACTTCCATCAGATTTTTCCAGGGCTTCACTTGTCAGGAATTAATTCACTGCAGAGCTGTGTTCATGCTGCCACTCCGTGGCAGCGAAGAGGTAAGTAAATCAGTAACGTCCGTGTTTATGTTGCTCTCAAATATCTCCTGGCATGATTCCTGATTTAAAAGAAATATCATGCACTCATTTTCTGACTGCAGAACAGCCATGGACAACAGAGCACCCATTTATAGAGCTCAACTGTCCTGTTTCACACCAGGCATGTGCAAGCAGTGACTGCAATGAAAGACACGGCACTACTCTAGCTTTCCAGAAGATTTCACATATACTCAAGTAGAATTTAGTTCTCTATATTTCTTCCAGGTGCCTTATGATAATGTGATTGCACACAACACAGAGAATAAATGGATAGCCCACTTCCCAGGCCCACTGGGAGGTATTTGAATCAGCTTTTCCTCTCTGCTTTGCTGATATCAATCCTAAGCTATCTTGCGAACTCCTTGTACTCCACTACAAGTGCAGCAGAACAAACATTGTTTTTCTGACCCAGGCACCAGGTGAAAAGACACTTAGCTTTCTTCCTTCTCTGGAGCTTTCACATAATCTGTCAGGGCCAATACAGCTCCTGTCCCAACAGCAGCTTTACTGCAGTAGAATATATGGAAATTCAAAGGAGGCGACAGAAAGAGTTGATCTCAAGCAGAGAGGCAGCTGGCAGGCCTCTGTAATTAAATTCCTGGCACACTGTGTATGTTTTTATAATTTTCCCTTGGTCAGCAGATAAAATTAAGTATGTTGACTCCTAGAACTCACTGCATATTCTTTTAAATGTCACCACACATTTGCAGGTCACAGCTCAGTTCGGCTCCTGCCGTTCTCCATTTATATATCTAACTCTTAATTTTTTTCCCGAAGTATCAAACTACAGATATCAGGTCTTCAGTGACTTCAGGTCTGCTCCCACCCAGACCCAGGCATGCTAGCTAAGTCCTTTCTACAGCTGGGCCCTCCGGCTTGTATTGTGTCTTGACAGGATCTCAAAGACCTTTGTACTTCAGAAATTATCCTTGCTGCCAAATCCTTACTGCCTCGTTGTTCAAAACAACCAAGCAAATTGTACAGTGAAATGAACCACAGAATCATCGAGGTTGGAAAAGACCTTCAAGATCCTCAAGTCCAAACCAATGGTATTTCCTAAAAGTTTAACTGAAGAGTCCTCTCCTGTTCCACAATATATTAAGCCCCCTCCTCCCCCCCCCCCCCCCCCCAAAAAAAAAAGAAACAAACAAAAAAAAAACCCTCTCTGCAACCTTGAAATGTTACAGAACTACATGAATTAAAGAATGATGGAATTCTTTTCCCTTTCACCCAGTCATTTCTCCTACTAGATCCAGTAACTACTGAATGCTACCGCTAATTTTTGGTTTCTTGTACTATGCTATGTGTTTTTCTAATGCCTTTAGAATGTGTAATATTTTAGATGTGATTTATAATAAATAAATAAATAAGTCTGTCCATATTCATTCTCCCCCACCCTGCTGCTGGCAGATTATTATAAATTCACTGAGAAAAACAAAACAAATACAATCCAACCAACCAAACAACAACAAAAACAGCTAAATTTAAAAGAACTCTGCAAAAAGATATGGAAGAAAATAAAACTTAGATCTTATTTTTGGATACCAAACTCTAAAGGCAGAGGTCCTCACCAGAAACCCACCTGTATTCAGGCATGGAAAGCTGATCCCTGGCAAATGAGCAACAGCAAAATCCCATCTTACAATTTCCCCCATTTTCTGTCTCTGCTTGTCTCTGAATATCCATTCCATTTCAATGCATCAGGGTCACAGTGAGGCAGCTATTTATTTTTAGCTTGGTGCTACTGGAAGATCTTTAAGCCACTAAACCTCACCAATGGTCATATTACTTTATCAGGCCATTTGTCATCCCACAGGATCACAAGGCTAAGCCTCTTAACCTCATAGGAAGATCTTTCTCAACACTACAAGCTCTCCATCATAGCAAGGGTAATCAGGTAAGAAAACCCTGGATTAAAATGGCCCATTTCACAAAACAAGTAGAAATGCATTAAAGTGCCTATACTTCCATATCACGGTTTGCAGGATGCCTTTGTGGTCTTATCAGTGTCTTGCTTCTGCCTCACAGGGAGACAGCTTTCTTCCCTAGCATTCACTTGCACACACCCAAATAAAAGGCAGGCAGCTGGGCTGGAGCCTCAATTAATCTAAACTTCTCAGTCATAAATGAAAAGTAAGAATCTGCTCCAGCATTATTGCTTTCTAGTTCCTCCTTCAGAATGCAAGCCTGGAAGGCAAACACTGTTCCAAAGAATAGCCCAGGCCCGTGAAGAAGGAACTGCAGAGCATCCATGAAATTTATTGTTGAGCCTTTGCAATTGTGATAGCAGAATTTTCCTGGAACATGTACCTTAAAGTGATAGACTTATTTTGCTGTCAGTTGTTCTTTTGGTTTATGCTATCTGTTCATGAAGAGATGAATAGTCATGAATAAATGCTAAATTGCAGGAGATTTTAACAACCACATTATCTCTGACCTGGAACCTGTGAATGTTTGTAAATCATCTCAAGTAGCTAACTGATGCTGCAGCACTTCCCTGACTCCTCTGACTGCAATACCAGAAAAGAGACATTGTTCATACGGTGGGGAGATCAGCAGTCCACCAAGGAAACTGATATGAGGCACTGACATATGAAACTGAAATTAAGGAACACTGGCTGCCTTAGGATGCTCTTCGCCTTATGCCTCTATTCATGCAAGCAATCTACCCTTTAACAACTCCTTGTTAAAGACACAGTGCCCTTTGTATCCACACAGAAAACTGGAATTACCCAAATTGTCACTCCATTATTATTGCTTCACATGGTTATCTTCTCCAAACCAGTCACCCATCACACATCTCCCTCTTACACACTGGCTCCTTTCGTACATGGTTGTTTATAGCTCCATAAACAGTACTGGAGACAACTGCTTATTTTCCAATACCTATCCCAATAATACAGAATAGAAGTAGGGGATTGTCAGTAATTTTGCTGACATTTCAAAACACTAGGTTTGTACTTGCTGTGCTGTAGCACAGGTAGCACAGGACTAAAAGATCAGCAGAAAAACTGGCAGAAGAGCCTACAGTGAGTACAAGCAAGGAAAAGCAGTTCTCCTTGTCACAGAGAATCACTGAGAAGCAAGCATTACTGATGGAGATGGCTGTGCAGGATGCCCAGGGCAGACCATGCTCCATCAACACAGCCAGATCCCTAACCCCACTTGCTACAGCAGCAAGTCTGTGCTCACTCTCGTGGAGCTCTCTGCAAGCTAAGCAACAATCTGTTGTTCAAAACACCGTTTCTATAGTTTTTGTGTATTTGATGTTAATTGTCCTTCCTGTTCTTGCAATATCAAATCTATTTAGAGATTTTAAAACAGAAATTTTCATGTTTGTAAGTATGAGCAATTTGAAGCAGTCTGCAGGGCTGTTTTTCATAATAGAATAAAGCACAAAAGATTACAAGCTTATTTTACCTACAGGAACTCCAATATTTTCCAGCAACCCCTGTAACAGAGCAGTGGCTTCTGATACATCATAACAATAGATTTGAGTATTGAATAAAATCAAGTCTCTTTACATTTGAGTGGTTAGGGTTCAACTCTCCCTTGAGTTTGAAAAAAGGTTCTTTTTGGATGTGATAAAATCAAAGCACCATCAAACAGGCAGCTTTTAACCCAAAATTGTTCTCTAGTTTGCATGAGTTTAACATTATATTTGTTTATAATAATGTGGAAGTATATCAATGCTGTTAACTTTCAAATAAAGAACAGGCTGGCTGTTAAACATGACACTCTTTATCTTCAAAATCTTCATTTTCTTGGAGAGGTATCATTTTATACACAAATAGAGGAGACGGAATAAAGTACATTTTCACAGTTTACTGCAAGTTTAATTTCAGCCTTGATATTCTTCATGTTCTAATGAATACCACAAGGAATCTCAAAAGGGTAATGCAGGAGTTTCAGGTGACTTTTTCACCCACAGTGACATGAACTGAAATAAATGGCACAGAAGCCAGAGTAATTGGAATTGCTATCTTAAAGTTCACAGTTCAAGGCTGGGATATTTGTAATTGTAAGGACAGCCTGTTACAGATGCTCTTGGCATTTGACATGAGAGGAGGCCTTAGGAAGAGAATGTCAAATACGAGCAAGGTAAAGGCACAGAACTGGAGGCGACAAGCTGTAAATTCTTTTCACCACTATTATGTTATGTGACCATTAAGTTTTCATGTCTCAGTTTACCCAGTTTAAAATAGTAATATCTTTCAGGTATGTAGTGATGATTCACTTATCTACCGATCTTGTTATTAAAAATCTTTCATGACTTCAGAATTTTTTGCAATCTCTAAGAAGTTAACAGACAAGGTTTTTGTCATCTTTTCTTATCATTGTAATTTCAAAACCCAAGTAGGTATTCAGGTTCACACGTTACAAACACGTAATCACAAATTCATTGTTCAGTAAAAAACTTGCTTCCAGTCTGCTTATATGACAAATGTCTTTCCCATTTCTTATTTATGAGTAATTTAACCAGCTTAGAAAACACAAGGACAACAGAGTGCTGGTGTGACTTACTCGTTTATTTACTTCTGTCTTATTCTCCAAAGTGACCGGGAAAATGTAGTGTTTCTAATTACCGGGTCAAGATACAGGCCAAAACGACATTTATGAAAGCTTCCTAGCAGAGAATTGGAGGCTAGGTGAATGCTGTAGTGTATTGCTGCAAATGAGCAAACCCAGAGCTGATGCTTGATAGCTCAGCTTTCACACAGAAATTAACAAGGACAGAAGTCAGTTTTCAACGCAACCCCTAATTGTAGGCTAAACATAGCAGAGTGCTGTTATGAGGATTAATTGGTTAATGTCTGTAAAAGACTTTAAGCACAGAGTCATATAAATGCTAAATGGCATTATTATTTTAATAGAAAAAGGATGAGTCATATTTTCATTGCTCTTTGCCATGGACAGCTATAGGAGACCTGCTTTCCATACAATATGTACAGATGTGAGTTATGAGCTCAAAAGTGCAACACGGTGAACAGCTGGAGGTGTAATTTTCAGTTTACAGTACAAAGTTCATGTCTGGAACTCACAAGATATTGCAGAGACAAAAATTAAATTAAAAAATTAGATTACATATTTGTTGCCAACTTTTTCAGGAGTAACTGATATGACATTCCTCTAAATTACTTACGACAAGTGTTTCAAAATGGGCCCCAACAACTTCAACTTCCAAAATCACTTCCTAGTATGAAAAATAAGCTGCCAAAATCAAAACTCACAAACTGTTCTAGCAGTCTAAAGAAAATAAAAGTATATAAGAGCTTTCACCACAGTGCTTCATAATTTAAGACCACCACCGCCAGTTGTCTAGGATCAAATCAGACTTCATTTTTAAGAGTATAGAACAGCAAAACTGTGGAGATTTTATTTCTTCTCCATAATCTGATGTTACAAACAGTAAAATTTAATGTCAGAGAGCCGGTATGTGCCACTACTGAAGTTAAGTACAGCATCTCTCCCAGTATAAAGCTCTTAAAAGTAAGACACAAATAGAAGTAAAGAAAAGACACAGCCCAAGAACTTGATAGTTCAGATCAGTGGGACAGCCAGAACTGAACAGTGCAAAGACTGGGGTTCAGCACCAGGTTTTACGATCACAGCAGCAGGGCAGGAAACTTAACTCCTGTTAAGCTCAACCTTTGCAAATTTTTGGCAGGGCTATGTAATGTGATTCAGGATTCTTTCCTATCTTGTCAGCTGAGAATCAGAGAACGCATCATCTTTGTCATTGCAGATGTCAGGGACAGGTGAAGCATTAATGTAACACCGAACAGCAGTCTAGGGAACCTAAAGCACGGTTTCTTACAGCACTTTGTTGACTTCCCTGTTTTAAGAATGACTTCGTGGGACCAAGGTCCTTAGAGCCTAGATTGCAAGAATGCAATCTAGTGAACCACACTCATGACAGAGACAGCCATTTAGGACAGTCATCATTATAACCATAAGTGTATACATTTATTTCATTATCTCTAAAGTTAGTTAAAATCATCTTACTCTATTATCACATTAGCTGTAGAATATAACTTCCCAGTAACAACCTACAGTTATTTAAATGGCTCCTCTCCTGTTACATTTAAAATATCTCCCTCATTAAAGTGAACTAAACTGTTAGCATAGTGCTGAAAGTGCAATATGAAGAATTTCTATCCTGAACAAGTAATTTAATATTCTCTACTGCAGTAAGGCACTTGAAACCACACATTCTTTACTTCACATATGATTTTATTAATGGTTCTAATCATGCTTGCTCCACAGACTCTGTAATCAATAGGCACAGGCTTTTAGTGAATTAGCTGTAAAGTTACCTGTCCCCACACCAAGGGAATAATGCTTCTAAGGGACAGGGCTGCTCCACATTTGCTACTGCTGGCATTGAGTTCACATTGAGCCAATAATTATATGCCATTAATAAAAGCATAATGGGGTCAAATAAAACATCTTTATGTGTAGATAATAAAAAATAAAATAAAATAGAGAGAGAGAGAAAGAGAATTTGAACAAGGAAGATAAGAAAAAAGAAAGGAAGAAATGGTAAGAAGATATTTTTCCATGATAAAGCTTCTTTTTCTTACGTTGTTCAGTAAAGGCAGCATGACCAGTGAATGCACTGGATGGACTTCAGCTCTAGACTCGGTAGACTTCAGCTGTAGACACAACATTACGAGACCCTGAGCAAGACAACTTCTTCAGGAGCCTGTAGTCTGTGAGTAGCCTGCCTCTGGCTTGTTTCCAAAGCCACAACTCCAT